CTGGCCCCGGGCCGGCTCCCTCGCCTCCTCGGCGGCGGGTCTTCCCTCGCAGCCACCGGCAGCGCCGCGATCCGGGGGCCGGGGGCCGACGACTCCGCGCTCCTCTGCAGCGCCGTCCCGTTCGGGGACGAAGTTAGGAGCTTTTTCCGCCGCTGCGGGAGACGCGAGGGGTCCACGCTTTGTTTTGAGCTCTCCTCACGCGAACCACCGAAGCGGAGGCGCCTGGGGCAGAGCTGGAGCCCCACAGCTCGGCCTCCGTGCGTCCCTCCGGCCTCCGCACCGGTTGCCTCCCTTCTGGTTTTGCTCACAGTACCCCCCCCCAGCCCCCGTTGCTGTGTTTCACGCGTGTCTCTGCCCCCGACACACTGGAAGAGCTTGTTCGTGACTCCTCCAGTGCCCGGGCCACCCTGTGCTCAGGCTCAGAGCTAAAGGCCGCTCTCGGCTCGACGGCCGCCGAGCCCGGCTGGACGCGGCGCTGGGCTCCGGCCCCTCCGGTAACCCCAAACACTAGGCCACAGCAACGTTCCTTTCACCCCGAGCTAGGCACTCGAGCTGGAGCCGGGAGGGAGAGGTGTGCTGACTAAACACAGCAAAACCCTTTCTTCCAGTACAGGAGTCGACATGTGCGAGGCAGAGAAGTTAATGAAATGCTGAGAAAAAGAGCAATTTTCTGGAATATTCGTGCATGGCATTAGGGGGTTTGATTTCATTTTAACGTGGTATTTACGATGATCTCTTTCTACTTGAACTTCTAATAATATTTTTCTTTCCATATCTTCTCTGTAAGCAAAACGGAGTTGCTGCACGTATCTTTTGCTTCCATGGACCATGGCAAGAACATATGCCATTGTTTAAGGACTACTGAGAAAAGAGAACTTAAAATTTATACTGCACACAAATTAGCTTCTCCTAAGATCTTTACTTGGGAGCACATCTTATTTCTGCTCTGTAAACAACCTTCTTAGAATACAAAGGAAGATTTTAGGAGATCAGTTCAACATACAAAGAAGCTCTCTATCGGGCACCGGTTTCAGAAGTACGTGGAAATAGTGTTACTGGTGGTACACACAGGAAGGAAAACCCAGTGACTCTGGGTGAAATAAGTTCCATAGGAGATGTTTGACATTTATTAAGTTACAAATCCATAGAAATGATGTAGTTAGCTCCTCACAGTGGTATGATTTGAGACATCTATGCTATAGAGCCAGTGATGAATGAAACGATAATCAAAGCTGTAATTTTGAAATTTTTTCTTACTCCTTTTTCCTGCTCCAAGCCAGATCAGCCACAAGACCAAATACAAATGAAGAATCTGCATTTTTCTTGAGTGGGAAGCCTGAGCATCAGAAAACAACCCTCTCATCCCACTATTTAACATTCACGACTACAAAGGCTCAAAAAAAAAGAGAAAAGTCTAAATAAAGCATGTATGTGCTGCTGGTGCTGGCTGACATCGGTTTGCGTTAGCTGTCATTACTTAACATTTTTCTGGAGAACTACTGCAGCCTTTCCCAGATTTTTAAGGTCTGCCTTTTCACTTCATGTTCTCACTTATTTCTGGTTGCTTTATTTCACATAATGGCAAATCAAATCACTTTTCTTATGAATCAAGTGTTTAATGTTTTAGATAAAATAATTTGAGCGATCAAGTAATTTGATTAAGTCCTCATTTTAGTAAGCTGCATGGACCACTGCAGCTTTCAAGTTGTTCACTAAGTAAAAAAATTCCAACATGCATATTTCTTCCTCAAAGTGAATTTTAAATCGTCACAGATCATTTATCTATGTAAGCTTGAACAACGAAAATAGCTTAGTATTCCTTTGCACTAACAAGGTAAGTCACTAGACTCCTAGATCATAATAACATTACATATACCAGATATGACTGCTAATTGTTGGTGTCAAAAGTAGCAAACATAATACTGTTCTCCTTGGCAAAAATAACTGTTTCAATGTGCGTGCTCCTAGGGGTAAGTCAAGCAACAGTGTACGTCCTATTCTTTTCATAGAGAGTTCTACAAATATTTGATACAATAATATTTTCTACCAAGGCAGGCTTCTTCCCTTAAGGAAAGACCGTATTTATTTTCTAAATGTGGGCCGTTAAGCGTGTTTATTTTCTAAAACTTACATTTCAATGACAGAAACCACATCTTTCTTCTTCTTTCCTTAACTGAATCACACAGCCATGATTGAAAGGAAAGGGCATTGTACTGGTTATTAAATTCTTACAGTTTCTCAGCAAAATACTTGTAATAACATGGGAAAACTTACACCAATATACTTAAAAGAGCTTGAACAATCCTGAGTGCTTAATAGCACACCAGCTCCACTCAGCTAAAATTAACGTAAGCGCTGAGCATGCATCTTCTCTTCACTCCCACGTGCACCATTGCCATAAGGTGATGTGTATGGCCGGCCCAGACTGCAGGAGGTGAAGAGGGATTTCCTGGCAGTCAATAGCACTGCATGCCTCCGGCCAAACCATGCTCCACACAAAGGTGGCGAGGCTCTGGCAGGGCTGCACAAGTTAGGAAATACAGCGTTATTTTCCCACGGAGCTTGAGCTAATAGGCACAGTGTACAGATAAGGCAATGTCTGCATGGGCATCGCGGAGCCAAAAGCACCATGTGGTCTGCAGGGCCTGTCAGCCCCTGGTCAGGACCTTGCTGGGCTATATAAGCCAGCCAAGTGTTCATACCTCCCTCCTTGTATCCAAGTTATACAGGTTCTGTCAATGCCAAGGATATTCCAGAATCTCGTAGATCCCTTTACTGCCTGTGCTCCTCAAGATGGTCAACAATGCCTGTGCCAAAGCATGGTGTTAGAAGCACCGGAAAGCCGTTACACCGTACATGTTAGGCAAGACAGTACTTCTGCAGTGCAGTCCTTCAAAATTTCAGTCTAGCAAGGGACTGTGCAGTGAGCAGATACAGTTCAGCGTAAAAACTGGTGCCTTGCTCTTCCCTTTGTTATCTCAAACTTCTGAGAACCTTTCCAAAAGCAACGTTCACTAAAAAGTACCATCTTACATATTAATAAACTGGAAATTAACACTGAAAGTAAACAAAATAGAAGGAAGCCTTACCCAGCAGGACAACCGATTTGAAGACTATGTAAAAAAACGCTGAGCAAAACTATCATATTGCCAAAATACTAAGAATTCTTATTTATAAGTTTTTACTTAAGATTCAAGATGCATTTTTCCAGTGTGACCATGAAAAATCCCACCCCATGTTTACTATTCTTTGATTTCCTTTGTCATTAATCGCTTAATCAGTCCTCATACTCAATCAAAGCTCCAGTTCTGAAGTGATTTTGCAATAAATAATTGCACAAAAATGGAGCCCCTTCATTTATTACCTAAAACCACCAAAATCTTCTGAACATTGAAGAGCATTTATGGTGTATTTCCCTAAAGCAGACAACTGATGTAGCTAGTTTAACAGCTTTGAACTGCACTCCTCTCTTTCCTCACCCTCCTCCCTACCCTAAAAAGCACCTTATCTATATTAATTATGGCTTACTTTAAATGTAATCCTCTGAATCACCTTTGGCAGAAAATATGCAATACCCCAGTTAAATTGTGACAACTTCTATTTGATTTTTCTGATATTAGCAGGAAGACAATGCAGCTGCTTTGGCTACTAAAGCCTTTGATTTTTATTTAAAAGCAAGTTTTGGGGCTTAACTAATCCGCATGGCAACATAAAGTAAGTCTTAACGATACTGCATTTTATTGGGGTAAAAAAGTGCTCAAAAATAGAAGCTCATTAGTGTTGTTCTTCCCCCTCACTTCTCCAACCAGCTCACTTAGAGAAAACAGACTCTTGTTGTTAGTGGACTCTCCAGGTGACATGTTTTAGGCAGACACTCCGACTTTTTCTTTAGTGTGCAAAAGATGTTCTTAAGTGATAAGACAGACTCCCAGGCCTCTTTCTTTTCTATAACGAAGGAAAACTCTGCCAGACTGTGTCTGGCATAACCCCATTCATTTCTCCTGCAATGACAATTGATAGAGAATGAAAGCATCCTCTGGGACACAGAGGGTTCAGTTTCCTTTGGCCGTGGCCTTGATCGGAAGCAAACCTGAATTATTTCACTTCAAAGCAACAAATAAAGAATATTTGTCTGGAATGTCAAAAGCATGCACATTAACCAAAACCAACCTTCACAAGAATCCTAATCCTAAAGCATAAAATTGCTTAGCCAAAAAAACCCCCCAAAACCCAAACCCCAAACCAACCAAAAAAAACCCCAAAACCAAAACCAACCCCCAAACCAACAAAGCAACAAAGTCATTACTAATTCAAGCGTAGAAATTGGTCAACAGTACCTTAGGATCCAGTGGGTGGGGTGGGAGGGATGGCACAGGGGAAGGGTATCCCATAGCATTCAGTAATGACACCTGACAAACTTACAATAGATATTCCGAAAGGGAAAAAAAGGTATATGACCATCGTGGCTATCTTAAAAACTATAGCCTGTTTCTGGTCTCGTTACACAAAACTTCGTTACAACAATCATTACTTTTCTATCATTTATTTCAGTTAGGTGAGATACTTGACATGGCTGTATTCACCTGTATGTACCCTCCGCATCCTACCATTTGAACTAGCATTAATTGCTAGTGTGGCTTTTCTGGGGCAAAAATCCATGTTGTTCTCCCACATATACAAATAGCAAACACTGGTTTAACTAAAGCTTTTTGACAATTTATTAACATTATTAGGCTTGAGAAACAAAATTAAGTTTTATTCAAAAAGTAAAGATTAAGATAACTTTAAAATGTTAGTGCTCACCAACAGTAAGGAGAAACAGTCCTTTTTCTACCTTTTTTCTTCCATATATTTATTTATAAATAATGCACTGAAAAAAATGCCTTTGTCTTTTGAGTCACCTGCAAAAGTTTTTATAATATTCTTGTATCATTATAATTAAAAGATGGAGATAGCCTCATATTTCAAGTTTTTACCCATTAACATACCACATACTCCACTCAAAATATCATCTGTGCATGATACAAATGATAATCCTGCTCTGAACTAGCTCATCATTATTATAATGAAATATCACAGACAGTAATCCCCAAAACTTTTAAGGGGGTGGAAGGGGAAAAACCCACCACATAGAAGAAGAAGTCTTGCACAAAATGCATGCGTGTATATAAATACCCAAAGTTGCTTTAGGAACAAGCAGCAAGATATAGCAAGGACAAATGCAAAGTTTATTCCACGTATGCTACAATTAATCAACATGTTTGGGAAGTATCAAAATTTGTACTATTAACATATGGCAACGGTTTTATTGTTACAATACATTGCAATAGATCAGCCCCACTGGAAAAGGCTTTTAAGCTGCAGACAGTGCAATTGCATTAAATCTTAATTCTTCTGGGTCACGTTCCATGAATTTCTTGCAAACTTCTATTGCATCCTAGGGAAAAAAGTAAAACAACAAAAACAAAAACCACTATAAATTATACTTACTAAAAAAACCCCACAACTGAAATATGAAGATATGCTTTATACAGACTATGCGCAAAATAGATTTTTCCATAAAGGACTACTAAGTAGTGTGACAAATCTACATGAATTGCATTTCTGATCTGAATTACCAGTATTCAAGACTATTTACAGTGCTCATATGGGCAGCATAAGAGAGCAAAAGTTTTATGCAGAACCTTAGCAACAATTATTTTTGTGACTAAATATTACTTTGTGCAACAGATGTGTTGCTTGTCTGACTTTCTAAATGCATCTCTGACGTTTGCCTTTACTAGTGCTGCTGTATGCAGAAATGTTTCCTTTGTCTCAAGATGAATCTAAGCTGTGTGGGGTAAGTGAAAGATTCTAAGTAATTCCTTCATCTAGCTTTAGGGTGCAATCTGGAGAACACATGTTATCAGTAAAACAGAAAAAAGCCACATATAAAAAAAGGGAAGTTTTATCCAACTTCTCCCGCTGCCCAAACAAGCACAAATTGTATGCAAACTTTACAGACATTAGTCTATGCTACTAAACTGTAAAAGGTTTTGTTTGTTTCTTTTTTAGTTTCTCTGTTTTCTTCCTTTTGTAAAGCTAATCTAGTCTGGATACAATTAAAGTCAGATCTATGCATTGCCTTTTCTCAGCTTCAACGTCACATCATTCTGTGGGGATGACAATTTATCCTCTCAATTCAGTGTATTCCTTTCCAATTAATTTCTCAACTAAACAGCTCTTGACACAAAGAAGCACCCAAAACAAGCCATGAAACTGGAGAAGAATGATTATTAGCAAGCATCAGAAAGGAAATCAACTTCTGTCTAGCATGGCACCTATGAAACTATAACTAAATCAAAGGAAAGAGAATGAAAAATTATCCTAAGTTTTCAATCTGATGACTTCATCTCATGTACAATTTGAAAGAAGCAGGGGTATATGAAAATCTCAGCACAGAAGAAAAGCCAGTCTGATCTTCTGTTCTGGTCAACTCTTCTGACATTTCTTGTTACCATGTTATGATACTCTCTCATCTGGAGTCACAACATGAGCATTCTGAAATACCTGTTTTAAAACTGAGTAAACCTAATTTTGTCTCACCATCCCACTCGCTCTATTCCTCATCCAACCATAAATATAGCAAGACCTTTGTATAAATATTTTTCATAATTTTTGTGGAAATATAGCAAGAATTTTGTATAACACCATTTGAGAAGGTTTTCTATTCCTACCTCTAAGAAAGAATCGTCACTAGTTTCCCCATGGTTTATTGGAAATGGCTTGCGCCCATCTGTTGAAACACAAAGCAGCATTGAACAACACATTTATAAAATTAGAAAAGCTTCATTTTTCCAGTTAAAACTATCTGAACAGATTTTTTGCTCCACTTACAAAAAAGCTACCTCATTTTTCATAAAAGAATCACACATGCAGCTAGCTATTCCCTGATCTTTCTTCCACTGCTGACTGCTTCAAGAGGTATCATTATGTACAGTCTGTTACATTAAAAAAAATAATCCAATCAAACAATGAAATAGTTCTTAATATCTTATTTGAAAACTTTAAGGCTGTAAGTTGCAACTGGTTTAGTGCTGGGTATAGTACTTCAGTTTTTCAAGTAGAGAAGAACAATTTAAACTACACTTAATGGATTTACCCAGACAGCTGTACATCTGTGGTCTTTGACAACTGTGATCAGGGACTCCACAACAGAACAGAATACCACACCCACCAGTTTGAAGAGTCTGGCATAACTGAAATGTTACTCTCATTTAAAAAAAAAAGGAAACAAACCCAATAATTTTAAGTATTAAGTACTTTCACAGTGTTTAAAAATGGTTGCTATAGTTAATGATTTTTTCACTCATTTGCAATATAATAATGCTATCATTCTCAGCATTTTAAAAATAATTTCATTCATACAAATAGAAATATGTTTCAGGTTACTTGTGAAGAGCTAACAGTATGAGGACATATGTTAGGATATCCTAAGCATTCACTAGACCAAATTCCCTTTTGGCTCTGTCCTCCCTTTTAAAGACTTTTCCCTCCCCAAAGATTCCATTGAAGTTGACAACACTTCCAAACTACATTTTCCATAACTAAAAATAGATTTAATGTAAGAAAACTTTTGGATTTACATGAACAAGAGGTTGTTCATTATTGTAACAACAATGATGGAAGGTACAACAATGCAAAACCCTCAGAATGTTCCTGGGAAACAGAACTGAATACCCTGTACTGTTGCAAGCTAAGTTTGATCGTGGGGTTTTTTTGGAAAAAAAAAAAAAAATTTTTTTTTTTTAAATACATCTTGGCAGAACAGCATTTTAATTTCATGTGCCTATAAATAACGTGTTTTCTATGGCAAAAACATCATAAGCATTTAACATCCATGTGCTTCCTTAGCACTTTCTGCCTGCCAAAGCCCACATGCTGGCCACAATGTCTGAAGCCAGTGAATCAACTGAAAAACCTTCTCCCATTTTCCTACTTTTAAGTATTTTTTGCTTTCTTCCGCTGGTACAGAGAGAAGTTATTTTAAGAACAAAGGAAATAGTATTATTGGCATTCCACTATACAGTGGAGGTAAATGCCTCTGGGGTTTTTTTTTGTTTGTTTGTTTTTTGTTTGTTTGGGTTTTTTTTAATTTAAGCAAAAAATTAAAGTGGGTTTTATCTTGCATCATACTTACGGAAAATAACTAAACATGGTAATTGTAGTCTGTAGTGTGCTTTTTAAGCAGAGCAAATTAACGGACAATGAAAAGTTAACATGGAAATAGTAGCACACAACTAGAAGAGGAGCAAGCCATCCATCACGCCTTGAAATTTAGAGTCATAAAGTACTTCTATTGCATCCTACAGCTGTTGCCTCACTATTTGATCTAGTTCACTGACAAGACATACAGCATCATAAAAATACAGAAATGTGTCCCTATTGTTCATGACTTACCACTGATAATAGCCCTTATATGATCTTAACATAAGCACTTCTTATATACCCCTTATGCCCCAGGTTATAATTAGTTGTCACCTGTTAAGGGCATTGCTTAATTACATGTTGATTTTCAAAAGATGAAAATGTTCTCACCATAAAATACTGCAAAAATTATGTTAGAAAAGACCAGTGACTTGCAGTTTTTAAATCTTGATCTACTTGCTAGTTTTCTGAAGCACCTGCAGCAAAACCTAGTTGCCCAGCAACTTGTTTAAGATTTGAGTAATTAGAGAATGTCTGAGCAGAACCTGGTGCTACACAATCTGAAGAGGGAAAAAAATAGCTGTAATTCAGAAAACAGAGACTACTGTTTTACAGTTAACTGTCTAGTGACTAAAAAAAGGTAGAAGAAAAAATAACCAGCCTATAAAAAATGAGTTGCTAATATTAGTATCTGCTAGTATCCTGACTACATAATTTCAGTTTAAACTGTATCATGCTATTTAATAATATAGCTAACACTTCTGAAGTGGCATACAGTTAATTTATTAATTTCACAAGCAATTCAGGGACATAAGTGTAACAGTATTTTCCTCTCTGAAACTTTGAGCATTCATCAATTCTTTCTTACTTCCTGTCTTTGTAAATGATAAAGGAAGTTCAGAGGCAGTCTAGTATTCTGTACCGTTTTATCTTAATAGGAGGGAGTTGAGGGAAGGAGAATCCCAAAAAACCAATGTGAAGAAGCCTGCAATTGTTTGACAGAACCCCCCAGACCCTACGATGCAGTTGAAAAGAACCTAAGCCCTACATTACGTCAAGGAATCTCTCTCAAACTTTGATAATTGACAACATTACTACTTGTATTTGTTTCAAACAAATGGAGAGAGCGGATAAAAAGTGTTCTTACCCAATTCATAGAGATGACCACCTACATTAACTAATGCAATAAAGTGAAGATCTACTTTTTCATCTATACTTGGTGCCTGCAAGATAAAACAAAACAAAAAGAAATTGTGTTCACTAAAACTCTTACCACAATACGATTAATGAGAACACATCATCATAATATGCAAAACACCTGGCCAAGAGAAATCACAAGTGAGAAGCACATTCTGGATCTATACAGAATGGCAGAAGTCACACTGCAGAACATTTCGGAATATAAAGAAGCTTCTACAATGCATAGATCAGTAAGAATCCTTTCAGTAAAGTATCTGGAAGTATTTCCAATTACAGCTCTACATAAAAGCTTTATTTTTCATTACTGAATTAGAAGTTGTATCAGCTCAAATACATTAACATTAAAAACAGATATACATATAAATAGTAACTCCTTCACTAACGCATCTCCCATAACAAAGCAATGCAGGGCTGAACTCTGAACTTGTAGTATCTTGAAACCGAAAATACTCATTTGGTCAAAATAATTTTTTCCTCGCAAGCCACGTATAGTACAGTTAACCTGTTCCCTCTTCACAGGCAGTCAAAAGAAACAGTTCACACATCTTAGGTGGGAAGGAAAATAACCAGAGGTGCCTAGACTGCAATTTCAAAGTGGCATCATAGCCATCATACCAAGAAAGGATTGAAGTGCAGTGACAGCATCAAGTAACATGACATAAAAATGGTTACAGTTGGTAAAGATCTGTCTAGCTCAGTACTGTGTTGCCAACTACAGCAAGCAAAAGCTTTTTCAGAAGAAAACAGGGCATACACAGCATGGTATTCTGCCAGCATACATTCCCAGCATCCACTAAGCAGTGGTTTTTGAACTTCTGAGCCAAAAGGTGCATCACCACTGTTGTGTTCAATAGCAATCGATGTTATTTCCTCATCAATCTGTCCAGTCTGCATCTGAGCCTCGATCCACAATTTAAGAAGATACTGTTTAAGGGAATAGGAAAAAGCACCTCAGTTTTTCTTAAATTATCAAGAATCTGACTTCTGCAAAAATATATTTCTTGCGGTTTTCTTCTATCTTGTAATTACTGTTAGCCTTATGTGAATTTCTTGAAGCACCCCAAAAATCTAAGAATTTGCCAGAAACAGATGAGAGTATAAAATGAGTTGTAGAACCTTACAGTTGCACCATGTTTTCAGGGCTGGGTTAAAAGTTTCCTTCTTCCTGATCGTCATGAAAAAAGACTTTAGAAGATGATCTAAATTGAAGAAATGTAGCAAACAACCAGAACAATAAAGCAAAGGACAAGAAGTCACTCTAAGTCCTTCAATACATCAAGAATGCCAAAGAACACAGCATTACAGAGGAAATGCCAACAGCTTACAGAAATTCTGTGTAGCAACCTCAAAAATGAAAGAGAGAAAAACAAAACAAAAAATCCCACAACCTCCCCTCACCCTCATTTCAGATTCCTCTGAATGACCAGTTAAAGTGCAAAAGGCATCAATTCCCTGTTTCATCTGGCCTAGAATGGAGAAAGAGCATTCCTGCTGCTGAAAATGAGGCAGGTATCAAAGGGTTGAGAGGACCTCTCCAAGGTCTCCAAGAAGTCTTTTTCCCCTATGGCATGAGTCAATTGCCTTTGAGAAATTTGTTCTACAGAAGGCCAAATAAAGCCAGGGCTTAGAAAAACAAGCAGCCTCAAGAGTTTGGCTACCCCAGTTGTAAACTTCCAGGGACCACAAGTTTCCCTAACTTTCTGAAAATCACACAAGACAGTAGCTGACAACCACCTTGTTGTTATTCCCATCTATCAACCAACTTTTTACAGGTATCTAAACTGTGGTGGTACAAAAGTATGCAGGCAGGCAAAGCTGAAAGTCCTTGCCAAATTCCACATTGCCATCTCATTCCCTTGTAAACAAATGACTTCATGGCTGTTCACATATCAATTAAACCTACCAACTGGGAAAACTGGGCTTAAGGAATTTCAGGGTTAGGGGAAAGACCACTGCCAGTTAGTCTCACTTTAGGAAGTAAATAAATGGCTTAGCATTTAAAAGCTTGCATCTGAACGTACACTACCTGGGCTCAGACTGACATTAACTAGAAGATCTCAAAGTATCACTATTTCAGAGTACTTTGAGATGTTCAGGATTTGGTTTTGATCACTTTTAGAAAAAAATACAGTTCCCCCTTTGACCATTTTGAGGGTTATGTTCTTTGCCAGCTTCTAATGAACATGTTTTCTATAGAGAGACACACTTGGCATGCTTGGAATGCTGAGCCTATACACAGCTAGAAGATGGATAGGGAAGCCATCAAAAAAAAGCATTAACTTTTCATAGAGCTTACTTGGAGACAAGACTCCTATAGAATCCTGCTGAGTTTTTGTACATGCCTAATCTAAATAATGTGCTTTCATTGTGTTATTGCCACAACCCATGACAAATGTGTTTTTACATTTTTAATTCCCCAACCTCAGAATGAAAAGTTTCTACCACATGTTCTAATGTAGACAGTTCCCTTCCTTAGTGACTTCTTTTCATCTAATGTAGATAGTCGTAAATTTACTACAAAGTAGATCTATTACATTTCCTGAAAAATTAGGATTTCAATCTTTTTTGACAGACAATTATTTGCATAATCATAAGCACAGAGAAACAATAGGGTCTGAATAGTCAAGATAACCTAAAACTTTATATTCTAAAAATCTGTCGCATATGACTTTTCCAATATGATGAATCTGATTCAAAATCCCCCCAGCCCTCCTTAGGGAAAAAAAAAAAGACACCCATTGCATAAGTGTGCGTGCATGCATGCACACACACACACGAAAAGAAGCCTAGTCAGGCCAATTTCTGCTTCACTGGGAAGCTCTAGAAATTCTAATGCTTGAACCAGAAGATTTTAAATTTCAAAGGAATGGAAAGAAGAGGGAATGTCAGCTTCAGGGAGATGTCTTCTGTGGTCTCCTTGAAAAGCTACACCTTTGGCCAAGTTTTCAGCTTCTAATAAACACTTTGTGTGAATGCTTAAAAGAACAAGAGAACATAGCTTTAAGAAGTCTGCCTGCATGTGCATCACTAGGTAGTATTTTCAGAACAATTACAGAGCATTTTCTGTTAATTATTCTTCTTGTCAAAGACCACAGTAACATGAACAGTCAAGTGTTGGGATGACCTGTTCCTTTAGATTTTTTTCATTTAGAAGCCCACTCAATGTGCAAAAGGAGACAGCAGATTTGAATGACCACATGTATTAACCACAAGGAAGGAGGAAGACACAGGAGTCTAAATAAGATCATTGTCTAATCGGGATCTGGAACTAACCTATGGGATTCAAGACTCATTTTTCAAGTCTTCTGAAGAGCTGTAGCACACAGTGAAGAAAATTTGTATTTCTTTCCCATCCAGAAAAGAAAGGAAGAGGACAAATACCAGCATCTTGGGTAGCTTACAGAAGCTTGTATTATGGTTTCAACCTTAGTATAAGAAATAAGTTTTGGTAGTATGGGTTAGTGGACATTATTTTTCCAAGTTATCTCTTCAAATGAAAAAAACCCTGAAAAATAATGACTAGTAGACTTGAAACTGATTTGAAGAGGAAAAATGCAAAAAGTTTAGCGCTCAAAGTGATGGTTCTGAGAATATCTTCTTAGCTGAAATTTGTTCTTGAGGTATTGAGATCACACTCAGTGATAATAATATAGTGTATCTTCATGGAATACCCAGTCTCATATACAAAAGTGACAGCCAAGGTTGTTGTGCCCTCTAATTTTGGATACCACACTAAAAGCACCTAAATGACCAAGTCCTGATTTTTCATAGGATTTGACTGCCTTCTCTGCTAACCTGGACATTCAAATTGAATAATAAACAATTGCTGACTGCTGTGAGAAGTCAATTTTTATTGACTTGTCTCAGGTCAATACCCATTAGTTCATGTTATTGAAACAACATCTCTACATTTTTCCTCTATTCTTCACTAGCAGATTTACAGACAGTAATTTTTAAAGTGGTGCTTCCCAAGGTTTTTACTATACAAAAGATAACCCCTCCTACTACCTCTTACTGTACTGAGAAATTCCTTGATTTTACCTTTAACTACTGCATGTTGCCCTCTCCTCATGAACTACAAGAGTCTTCTTTCTTGCTGTTGAACTAACCTTCAGAAACTCAATGGTACACCCCTATATCACTGTTTGCCCAATCATATTAGCTGGTCTAATGAAGTGTATTTCACCATCTACATAGTTTATCTTGCTAATGCACTTAGACCATTATCCCAATCTAAAAGTCAGTATTAAGTTTTCATGCATTTGAAATCTTTTGATCTTCAAATGTTGCCAACTTAGAACAAAACTGTTCATCAAATTTGATGCACAACTGGTTTCTTTTCCCCGAAACTGCTTTTCGGGGACAAACACTCAATTGAGGAAAAAAAAAAAGAAATTGTCTTGCTCTCATTGACATACTGAACAAGTCCTCACCAGATCCTGCTTAAAATATATTTATGAAAGACCCCATTATAAGAACAGGTTCAGTGTTACGTGACAGATTTCAGGCAACTTCTTTCATCTAAGTCTTCTATTTTTATTATTTCCTTAAATGTGCTCTTGAGAGAAAGGAGTGAAGCAAGAAGTCTCACAAACCAGTTCAGTAGAATCCTTTGCATTGGTAGTGACTGTGAAAGGAAAAAGCACCACTTGGGTTAAGTCAAGAAATTGGCATAAAAGGTCTCTCAGGTTTTGGAAGAAGAGCCATAAAGACTGATAAGGAAAAGACAATTTTGCAGAACCTTGAGGAATAAAAAGTTTCAGATACATCTGCATCCAACTGAAAGATCTTGACAAAAGTAACTGAAGTCTAAGACAAGAAAAAACCTTAGGGGGTTTAACTATACAATTTCACTCACAAGGAGTTACAAGAAACCAAAGAAAAACATATTAAAACATGAAGTTTACACAACAGAATGTTAGGTATGGTTTGGATTCAATAAATTTTGAAGTAAAGGGAAAAAAGTGATGCAATTGCTATTGGGTAGATTAGGCATCTGTAATTCCCATTATGAAGCATGGAA